TGGGGGGAGGGGGCGGGCCGTGGAGGGGCGGGGCCGCGGCGGCAGAGTGGCCGCCATCTTAGGAACGGGCGAAAGGAAGGGCAGGCGCGGCCTCAGGATCCGGCGCCCGGCGTCGCGGGCCGAGGGAGGTGTTTTGCTGGTTGTCACTCTGCAAGACCGAAGGGGGAAACTCCCGAGATCCGGTTTATACATTTATAGTGCGAGCTCTTGCACAGGCTTTGCAACAACCCCAAAGCACAAACCCAAAGAGACCTCAAACCCAAAGAGATCGCTGGGCAAAACTAGAGTGTAAAGCAGCCTTTGGTGTCCGCCCACCTTATGGCGTCCTCTTGGTGTTTTTTTTTTTTTTTTTTCAGATGGCAACTCTTTTTTCCGGTTCCCTCTGCCCGAAACCCTATGTAGTGACTTTCCTTCAGCTGAATCAAGTCTTACCCCACTGAGGAAGGTGTACATTTAGATAAGGGGGACTTTTAAAAACCCCAAGCTCCCTGGTCCCCTTTGTGTTTTTTTTTTTTTTTTTGCAGATGGCAACTCTTTTTTCCGGTTCCCTCTGCCCGAAACCCTATGTAGTGACTTTCCTTCAGCTGAATCAAGTCTTACCCCACTGAGGAAGGTGTACATTTAGATAAGGGGGACTTTTAAAAACCCCAAGCTCCCTTTCTGTTATCTCAGGCACTGCAGAGGGACTAGTTCCTAATTGAGAGGCAAGTTCATAACTGTGAAAACATACCCTGGCCTGTGTCTGCCTAGAAGCTGGGAGCAGCCGACGAGCTTTGGCGAGTTTCCTACGGGACGTGTGTGTCAAGACACCCTCAGAATGGAGTCGGTGGCATCAGCACACACAAAAGATCAAGTCAACAGTAACCTCTGAATGAGGAAATTTGGGAAATATGCAAGTTCTGTAATGAAACAGCCCCTAGGCCTGGAATATATCTGAGAAAATCCCAGTCTCATCAGCTGAAATACGGCGTATTAACGGAAGGATCTGAATGGAGTCTAGAAAGTGGGGAGCTGGAGAACCTGAACTCAGGTCTCAAGCCCTCCTTAAGGCAAAAGAGGTTATTTTGTATTTGTCACCGTGAACTGATTACATTCTGCACCCGGTATCCAGGGGTCAAGGTTGTTTGAATCCGCAGATGTAGAAACTGCAGGTATAGAGGGCCGGTCACCCAGGGCCACTGTTCTATGCCATTTTATATAAGGGACTTGAGCATCTGCAGATATCCATGGGGTCCTGGAACCAACTCCCTGCAACTAATACCCAGGGATAACTATGACTGGTGTACTATATCATACATCTGGCTCTTATGAGTTTGGGGGAGCTGTTTCAAATTTTTGGCATTACCACCACTTCGTTTATTCATTCATTGAACAGACGGGGTTGCCAAGTCCCTGGTATTGAATGGAGAAACCCCCTCTTTAGCTCTGTGGCCAGTAATACACAAATTAAATATATGTCATGAACATCTGCTTTTATTTATTTATTAATTCATTTAACTTTTTGGCTGCACGGCAGGGCATGTGGGACCTTAGTTCCCCCACCAGGGATCGAACCCCTGCCCCCTGCATGGGAAGCACAGACTTCTAACCACTAGACCACCAGGGAACATCCCGAACATCTGCTTTTAAATTGTGATAATTTCAGATTTACTTTATATGAAATTTCAGCTGGATACCAATTCAGCAGTGGCTAGTAACACTTAAGCTTTTGGTTTCTACCTCTGTATTCAGTGATTTGTAAGCAAACAATTGCTCAGATTTTACTTAAAGAGACACTGTGATTCTACTGAAATGTAATTACTTTATAATGTTAATAATTTCACCCTCTAATTTTCCTGTGGCAAGATGTTTTGACACTACTAATAAGTAGTTATGAAAATTAAAAAGGCCAAGGGAAGGTCCATGAGAGTACTTCTCTATGGCAAGTTTTCTCTTCCCACCACTGGTAATCACACTTCTGCCCCCACCCCAAGTCTGTATTTTTAAGGAGGACGTTACGTAACACTGTCTACAAGTAATTACCAAAGGCATTGGAAATACTGAGGTGAAAAAGGGAGATACCATCCCTGCCTTCATGGTATGTATGGTTCAGTGAGAGACTTATTACTAAATAACTATTCATTTACAACCATGATAAGTGCCAGGCAAGAAAAAGTGAAGTTCTATAAGAGGAATGAACAGCACTATCTATTCTAGTGAGGGAGTCTATTGATCAGTCAGGACTAACCACAAACATTCTCCACTGTCAGGGCAAAGAGTATTTTCAATTTTTGCCTAGCAGGATTCAATCATTTCTATGGAACCGTGATTACTGTGTTTTCCATTTCTCTTTTTTTTCCCAGTGGGAGTCTCCATTGCAGTTACCCTGTTTTTCCTCCACAACTGTCTGTTGAATTTCTTATAGTCGTAACTCCTGAGGAACCACATCCAGACTCATTGGAAAGGGCTGAGCTGCCTAGAGATCCTGGACTTTTAAGCTGGATGCAGCTGGTTACCACCCTTGGGGCATGAGTATGTTCTATTTGGGAATAAGGGTGGGTACATGATGGCCAGAGGGACAGACTTCCATGGCAATTGCCATTTGCCCACCAAAATCTTCTTCCTCGATAGTTACAGAATTGTAGTTACGATGTGGGTACCCAGGTGGGGAGTGTATTTTCCAGCTCTTCTTGCACCCAAAAGGAGTGCGTTTTGTCGAAGTTCACACTAGTGGAACGTGAACAAAAGTGATGTGTGCAACTTCTGTCTCACTTGTTAAGATGGGACATTTGTCCCTGAACTGCCCTGACCCCTTCCGACTTCCTTGGGTGGCAACAACTTGAGCAGCCTCAGAAGCCCCGTGTTGAAGACAAAATCTGGTCACGAACATGTACTTTTGTGTGAGTGAGACACGAACATTTGTTTGAGTCCTTGCATTTTTGGGTCTGTTTGTTTGGGAATTTGCTTGAATTCCTCTGTACACCTGTGTTGGATATCATGTTATCTGCATCCTCCATAGGAAGACTTTCTTAGCCTTATTCTTTTACTTTTGGTGGAGCAAGTCCTTCATATTTTCTTAGAAAGTGTGCTTGAGAGGTAAATATTTTGGGAGCTGAATTTCTTTGCATTTGACATGTTTTTATCCTTCTGGAACCTTTAGGGATCTTTGTCTCCAATGCTCCAGTATGTATGTTTTCAACTATTGTGCTGGGTACCAATGAGAAACTTGTATACTTCATTTCTGGGAATTAAAAAAAATTATTTTTTCCTTGATTATTCCCTCCCCTGTACTTTCTGTCTCTCTTAGCAGAGCTCTTAAAACTCAGATATTGGATTTTCTTGCATGGCAATCTAATTTTCTTAGGTTTCTCTCCTAGCTTCCATCTGTTTGTCTTTTTGCTTTACTTTTTGAGAAATTTCCTCATACTTTTTTTCCTTCTACTGACTTTCATTTTTGTTCCCTAAATATTTCTTTTCTTTTCTTTCTTAAACATCACCCTGATCTTGTTGCTTGGTTGCAGATCCCTCTAAAGACATTATTGATAGATTTTTGAAAGTTCTTGCCTTCCTGTGTCAGTAATTTCTTCTAAATTGCCATTTCCTCTTCCTTTTGTGGGTCTTGTTTGAATCACTATCTTCCAGGTTAAAGAATCTTCTCGAGTATGTGGTAATCGTATTTAAAGTGTGGGAACTACCTCCCACCTGTACTTTTTCTGATCACACCTGTCAACCTGACTTGGTGCCCAGCACATCATCTTGTACAGAAAGCAACACAAACCTTCCTCCAAAAGAATGGCCATTTCTGACAGTGACAGAACACGAGGCTCTTTTCCCACAATTTCTGAATCATCTACATGTGAGCTGATGCCTCCTACATCTCATTTTAAGCCTGGACTTCTTTCTTCAGTTTCAGAGCCATATATCTAACGGCCAGGCATCTCCATTTCTAGGTTCCAGTTTGTCCTCCTGTTCCACTGTGTGCCCTGAATCAGAAATTGGCACACTTTCCCTTCAGTCACCTGTGTCTCATCCTCCCTGTTCACCTGCCTTGCCAGGTGGAGGTGAGTACGGAAGACAAGAGAGGGTGGCTGTCCCCTAGAGTGTGAACTGTCACGGCTCTGCCCGTTTGTCCACTCTTGTATCCCCCGTGTCTGGCATAGGAGCAGGTTCACATAATAATATTTACTGAATGAATATCTGAACAAAACAAAAAGCGTGGGGACTAAAAATGTGATTGGGAGCTCAGAGCATATACATGGGTCCTGTTGGTTTTTTGTCTAGATGAGTTTATTTTCTTACAAGTATTTCATGGAAATAGGAATGTAGCAAGCCGGTCAGGGTAGTAGGAAACAAATTTTAAGTGCAGGTTCACGCATGTTGCTCTATTTACACCTGGGAGCAGGCTTTCGCAACCTCGGGCGCAGCACCTGCCCTCGTCCGAGGCCCCTTTGCAGACGCAGCCCTGGGCATACTTGGTACAGCTCACGGGGCAGCAGGGGCAGCAGCTCTTGCAGGAGGTGCATTTGCAGGAGCTACAATAGGCGCAGGAGCCACCAGTGGCTCAGGAGCACTTAGGATCCATTGTGAGCCGAGCTGAGGCCAGAGGTGCAAATCAGTGACCAAGAAGAGGCTCTTGGCTTAGTGGAGGGTGTGTTCCTGGGGCTTGTTGATTGTGAGCTTAATTAGGGGGTGATTCTGCTCTGGGCTGTCTCATTGGAAAACCCGGATTTAATTCTCTCTAGATCTTTTGTTCCCTGACCCCAACAAGATGCTTCTAATCTCCTGCCTAGAGGTTGAAGACCCAACAGCTAGTGTTTTTGGAGCTGAGTGAAGAAATTGGGCTGGGTTTGTGGAACAGGGTGTTTTATTACTCAGTATGTACGTATTTGCTTAATCTTCCTTCTGTTCTACCCTCTCCAGAAGGGAAAACTCAGCCTTTTTCCTTTTTTTTTTTTTTTTTTTTTTTTTTCTAGCCTTCCTAGTGGGTGTGAAGTATATTTTTTTTTTTTCTTTTTTTGCGGTACGCGGGCCTCTCACCGCCACGGCCTCTCCCGCCGCGGAGCACAGGCTCTGGATGTGCAGGCTCAGCGACCATGGCTCACGGGCCCAGCCGCTCCGCGGCATGTGGGATCTTCCCGGACCGGAGCACGAGCCTGTGTCCTCTGCATTGGCAGGCGGACGCTGAACCACTGTGCCACCAGGGAAGCCCCAGCCTTTTTCTTTTAAGGGGGATGGTCAATAGTCCAGTTACTGAGAGTGGGGGAGGGGGTCTGTTTCTTAAACAGTTTTAACCAATCCTCCTAATTATAGGACCTCTCTCTTCCACTGGACTGCCACTTCCAGAGGTGCCTGAGGTTATCAGGTCCTAAATCTTTTGGTGATCCTGTGGGGCAAATAATGTTGCCTTTGAGCGTTCCCCATTACTGGTTTGCTAAATCATCTACTACTTGCCTATTTTTTTGGTGCCTTCCAAAATCTGTTGCTGCCAAATCTTCTCCCATTTTCCTCATCCTTATGGGTTTATGCCTAAAAAAACAAGCAAATCCATCTGAGTTTTCAACAGAGCTTCAGGAAGAAGAAAATGAAGATACAGCTGTTCAATCTGACATCTTTCCCCGGAAATTACTCCTGTTTCTGTTCATTCCTACTCCAATCGCTCTAATTTGAGCCGCCATCATTGCTCAGCTGGTCCACTGCAGCAGTCTGTCAACTGTTCTTTCTGCTCCCGAGGTTTGCTCTTTCCTTATCTATTTTATTACACTGAAGACAGAGTGAACTTTCTACAGAGCAAATGTTATTTCTCCACCTTCCTTTAAATCCTTCTTTCAGTCCCTTTTGCTCTTAACTTGTAAGGACCCTATATCATCTGGCCTTGGTCTACTTTTCATTCTTATCTCCCAGCTTTCTCCCAGTTGCTCACTAGGCTCCAGCCATGCTGTAACCCACGTCTCTTTTAACATTCAAATATGGCATCTTAAGGTAACCCTACATACTGTAACTTTATCTGTAATTGTCTCTCACCACTTCTTTCAGTCCCTCTCCTCCAAGCTTTTCTGGTTAACTTCTACTCATTGGCTTTCAGGTGTCAACTTTAATATTTATTCTTCAGGAAAGCCTTTCATGTCACTCCAGATGAGTTAGGTCCTTTGTTGATGGTCTGATTGTTCTAAATACTTGCTATCCCTCCCCTAAAAGGGTTACACCTCCCTCTCCTGATGGTGTCAATATTCCACACAACACAATTTGAGAAATTCTACATTATTTTCATCACACTTTAGTTTATTGTTATTATGTGTTTAGTTGTCTGTCTCAGACTGTAAGCTCCAAGAAGGAAAGGTCCTGTGTCTATCTTGTATACCATGGTACCTCAATGTTTAGTATACTGCTTCAACCACCCATAGTAATGACAAAGACCCCCTTGACCAAACCCTAGAATGGCTACCAACAGCTTAAGGCCATGTCCCCAGGATGAACCCTGTCCCCCTTAAAATGCCTGCCTGAGAAAGCTCAACACTGCCAGGAGAATTTACTGTTTCTTCCAACCCAAACCAGGTGATAGGCATATAGGCCCTGAACCTCCCTTAAAGCAGTTACTTTAGAAAGCTTGCGATTATAAATCCTTTCTCCACCCCTTTCGGATATAAATCTTTTGTCACCCAGAACTGCCTTCTCAAGGACCTGAGAGTTGCCTCCTCCCAGCCTGGTGGGTACCTTGCTCTAACTTGTACCACTGCATGTCATAAAGATATGAGAAGTTAATTTCTGCTCCATATAAGTGCCAATTAACAAGCCCAGTCACATGGACCAACACCCCTTGGCACCCTTTGGTGCCTTTGCCTTAGCACACGCCAGTCTTTAAAGTCTCCAGCCTTTTGTTTTGGGGAAGTTCAGTTCAGTTCACGACGAACCCACTTCCTTAATGCAATAAAAATCTATCCTTATTGCTTTAAACTAGTATCTTTGTTTTTGTTTTGTTTTGACAGTAAGCATACTAGTTGTTGAATTAATAAATTAACAGACACTATATAGGTGTGAACAGCTGGGGAAGAGGGTAGTTTCATTATTTGAAAGTTTCTTTTGGGTTTCTTCTATCCCTCTCCCACCCTCCAAGAAGTTGACTATCTGTTATTTTTTCTTTCATAATCTCTAACTATGTGAAAGATGACAATTATATCCAAATTATCCATAGTGCATTTTAGGATTAAAATAGATTATTTTAGACAGGTGTAGAAAACTATTAAAAAAGTCACACGCCTATTTTAAATGTCAATTCCCTGGTTTCTCTTTTAAACTTTTTTTTCTTCTCTTTGGCTTAAAAACTTCAAAAGTTCTACCATTTCTATTTCTGGGCGAATGACAAGAGTTCAGTTCAGTCCAAAACAACGTGGGCGGGTTAGATGCGGGTGCTTGGTTACAATTGGTGAGTTTGGCTAGACCTTAGCTGCAAATGGCCTCCACACCTTTTCCTCCCTGTCTGCAGCTAGCACTCTGCTACCTGCGCCTGCGTGCTTTCGCTGTTCCTCCAAAATTTTATCTAGTTAGACGCTTCTGTGGGTACTTTTAGGAAGCCTAGAGAGGCCCCCGCAACCCAAGATTTTCAGTGCCGATTCGTACTTTGATTCACAACCTGAAGCGTTCCCTCTCCCACGCTCCAACCCCAGTCGCGGCCCCCACGTCTGCCTCCCTTCCGGCCCCGGCAGCGGCCGAGGGTGTCACGTGCTAGGACCCGGGCGTGAAGCCTGCGCCGCCATGTTGGTTCCTGGCGGTCTTGTAGGAGAAGGCAGAGGGAGGCTGACCAGCCGTCCGGAGTTCCGGTCTTTGTGCGCAAGTGCGGAAGTTTGTTGGCCCCGACCGTGACCGGTTTCCGGCTGGTGGTTCCGCACCGGCCCCCAGTAGACGTGTAACGGAAGGTGGGCCGCAGCCATGGCTGAGAGGAAACCTAACGGTGGCGGAGGCGCAGCTTCCACCTCCTCGTCGGGCACTAACTTACTTTTCTCCTCCTCGGCCACGGAGTTCAGCTTCAACGTGCCCTTTATCCCAGTCACCCAGGCTGCCGCTGCCTCGGCCTCCCTGCTCTTGCCCGGAGGTAATAAGGAGATGAGGATCCGGTGGGGGCAAGTGTGTGCGGGGAGGTGGGCGGGCGGCGGGCGGTGGCGAGGGTCGGACGGGAGGTTTTCCTTGTGCCTGGACCCGACCCTCTGGTACCTTGCCAGTGCCATCAATGGCCAGGTTTGAGTGGCCTGAGGACTTTGGGATGTTGGGGGCGGGGGCCAAGCTCTTCGTGGAAGGAACTGTTCCCAATGCTGGACACTCCTGAACTGGCATTCCACAGATTTTTGTTGAACACCTCCTGATGTGCCAGGTGCTTGCAGGGAATGCAAAAAAATTAGACAGTGCCTCCTCCTCTCCTAGGGTACTGTAGGATATCTCTTAGGATAGACACGTAGTATTTGCAAAGTAGAGGTACAGAACGCAGTCATCTTTCAAGGCGGTGCATCATTTTCTCTAAGGAGCCCTTGCTTGTTCTCAAGTCCCTACTGCTGTGTGCATCTTAGCACTTTGTACATATCTTTATTATTGTTTAGGGAGATTGCTTTTTAACGATTACGTGGCATAACCCAGAGCTGGTGTTTAGGAGCACAGACTGTAATCCAGCCCTAGCCCTGCCAGTCATTTGCTGTGCGACCTCAGGCATGTTACTTTACCTCTCTGTTCTTCATTTTCCATATGGGCTGTGATAAGAAGTGAACTGATTTTTGTAAGGCACTGAATATAGTGCCTGGCACATAGTGTTATATAAATGTTTGAGAAATAAACATGTCTGCCTCTCTATTTGGACTGTGGGCTTCTTGAAGTTTGCAGCTATAACTTATTTACCTTTTTATTTCTAGGATCTTGTTTAGTGCCTAGCACATAGATCCTCAGTAAATGTTGAATATTTTCCTGTTGAATAATTTATTCTTGTTTGGAAGACTGAGGAAAGTTTCATGGAGAAGTGAAGAAGGGCAAATCGGAGACAATACATGATGGTTCTTCTTCCCTTGTGTTATGTTTCTTCTTGGTACTTATCACCACCTGATGTGTACAAATATTTGTTTATCTTTTTTAAATTTTTTAATTTATTTTACTTTTTATTTTTGGCTGCGTTGGGTCTTCGTTGCTGCACGCGGGCTTTCTCTAGTTATGGTGAGTGGGGGCTACTCTTCGTTGTGGTGCGCGGGCTTCTCGTTGTGGCTTCTCGTTGCGGAGCATGGGCTCTAGGCGCACAGGATTCAGTAGTTTTGGCACACGGACTTAGTTGCTTTGTGGCATGTGAGATCTTCCCAGACCAGGGATCGAACCCTTGTCCCCTGCATTGGCAAGTGGATTCTTAACCACTGCACCAACAGGGCAGTCCCATATTTGTTTATCTTATCACACTAACATGTAAGCTCTATGAGAGCAGGAACTTACACCTAGAACAGTGTCTGGTATGCTGTAGACCGATTTTTCAATAGAAACTTGTTGAATGAATGAAAGGGTGGCAGTCAGGAATATGTATGTCTTGTTTTGATGGTGTGGCTGAAAGGTTCAGCATTGCCATTTTTGGTGGAGGACTAGCATGGCTGGAGCAGAATGCTTTGGCAGGTTGCAGGAATAAATAAGGCTGTACATGGGTTTTCATGTCATCCTCTGCTTCACAGATGTTTGGTTCATGCCCCATTTTCCTTGCTATATAATTTGTTTGTGTCTATGTTACTGTCCGTAAATGCTAAACATCTTCATTGCCAAGTAACAGGATAACTTACTTGTCTTGAAAACTATTGTTTCTTGGAGATGATTTATTTTTTTATTATTTTTGTTTTTTTTTGCGGTATGTGGGCCTCTCGTTGTTGTGGCCTCTCCCGTTGTGGAGCACAGGCTCCGGACGCGCAGGATCGGCGGCCATGGCTTACGGGCCTAGCCGCTCTGTGGCGTGTGGGATCTTCCCGGACCGGGGCACGAACCCGTGTCCCCTGCATCGGCAGGCGGACTCTCAACCAGTGTGCCACCAGGGAAGCCTGGTTTATTTTTTTAATAGGAAAATTAATACTTTTTAGAACTAAAATTCTGTAACAAATGTTTTTCTACCTTTAAAAAAGATTTGATCATTAGAAACCCATTCAGATAATTTCCAGAGACAAAAGGAGAACCTGTCACATTGGAAGCAACAGTTAATCATGTCAGTGAAAGAGACACATAGAAAGCAATTTCATTTCACAAACCTGGATTGAGCAGCTTCCATTTGCCAGGCCCTGTTCCCGATGTCCGGGAGACACAGAGGAGCAGATAGCATTGCCCTCACGACTGCACAGTATATACAGATGCAGTGTACCCAGCTGTGTAAGTAATTGTGATACAGGTTTATGATGGCTGGAAAGAGGGATTGATAGGCTGCTGTGAGAGCTGTGGCTGTCAGGCTGACCAGGGAGAGGATATCCCTCGGGCCTTCAGGACCTCACAGAGGAGGCAGGTCTTGAGCTGAATATTGAAGGATACATAGAAATTAGGGAGTTTGGGGAGACAGACATGTGAGAGTCTGGAGGTGTGAGAGAAACCTGCTGATTTGGTGGGATTTGGTGGTAGGTGCTCACATTCTCTCTCCATCCCCCGCTTTTTCCCTCTCGCCCCGTCCCTCCCCCGCTGCACCCCTCCATGTGACTAGAGTGAATTCAGGGGAGTGCTTCAAGTAGTCAGCAGGGCCCAGATCACGAAGGGCCTCAGACACCACACTGAGGAGTTTGTAGTTTACCCTGTGGGGTGTGGAGGGTGCCCTTGAAAGGTTCTGAACAAGGCAGTGGGATTAGAGGTGTGTTTCAGAAAGACTGGAGTTTCCTGAGATTGCAGAGATTGCACCAGAGTAAAGCTGACCGTAGCAAGAGCGGCCGATCTGGAAGCCACTGTGAGTCAGGCAGGAGCCAGTGGCACTCTAGCCCTGGTCAGCCACACTGGGTGTGAAGAGCAGGGAACAGATATGAGAGATTTCTACACGGTCGAATTGTTGGGATTTAGTGACTCAGGGGGGTCCAGGCTGTGCAGTGCAGAGTCCCCTTCTCTTTGTTCAGTTTCAGCCCCAAGACATAGCACCACCTGGCATATAATGGATACTGTGTACATATTTCTTTAATGAGGATCTGAATGATTAAATGAAGGGTGTGAGGGGGAGGGAGCAGTCTGAGAGAGGAGGTTTCTGGTTTGAGTGTCTGGATGGATGTTGGCAGACATCTGTTGAGGTTAGTGAGATGTGTAAAAGGGGGGACATGAAGGGGGACAGTTAAGATGACAAATTCAGTTCAGGCTTTCTAAGTCTGAGGTATATGTGGCTGAACCTGTCGAAAAGTATTGAGGAGGCAGTTGGAAAATAGGTTCTGGGACACATAAGATCAGTCTCAGTTTAAGACAGAGTTGGGAGTGTCACAAGTGTACAGGTGCTTATTAAAATTATGGTTCTTGATGCCAGATGTGTCCACATGTAATTAGAAAGTGCCCCTGAGGTGAGGCTGGCAGCTTGTTGAGATCAGTATTTTGTTTGTAATTAATGCTAATCAGAAAAAAGTCTCTTGGATCAGGTTGATCCCAAGTTGTGTTAGAGGATGAAAGATACCACAGAGGTTTTTTCCCCTGCTTTTAGATGTTAAGACATCAACTAAGAAATCTGAGTCCAAGTGAGGTTCATGTGACTGAAAAGAGAGGGTAGGAATCGGAAATGTATCAGAAAAGTAGAACGATATAAGCAGATGGTGGGGGGGGGGCCCTTGTGCAGGAAGATATTTTTAGTTACAAAGAAACAACTCAGAGGAGTATTTTGAATACTGGAGTATCTCAGTTAAATTGATGTGTGTGAAATATAATGAGAGCAGCCTAAGAGCTGAAGGCCTCATTCAGTAAAGGTCAAGAAGGAGCTCAGAGCTTGAAAGGCCACCCTTTGGCAGGTCTCAAGGACAGGGACTAGTGTGCCTGTGTGCTGGGAGAGGGTCCACCCTTCTGATCTGCTCTATGCCTCCAGCAGTGGGAGATAAGAGGGAACTGGAAATGAGAGGGAATGAGATGGGGGAAGGAAAAGATTAGGAAGAGGAAGACAACCTTAGACGCTAAGGCCTCCTAAAAGTTTCCTGAGGAAAGGTAGACTGGGCTTTTTTATTTCTGTTTATTTATGTATGTATGTATGTGTGTATGTATGTATGGCTGAGTCAGGTCTTTGTTGTTGCGTGCGGGCTTTCTCTAGTTGCGGTGAGCGCGGGCTACTTGTTGCAGTGCACAGGCTTCTCATTGCGGTGGCTTCTCTTGTTGCAGAGCACAGACTCTAGGCGTGCAGGCTTCAGTAGTTGTGGCATGCAGCCTTCAGTAGTTGGGGCTCGTGGGCTCTAGCGCACAGGCTCAGTAGTTGTGGCGTACGGGCTTAGTTGCTCCGCGGCATGTGGGATCTTCCCGGACTAGGGCTTGAACCCATGTCCCCTGCATTGGCAGACGGATTCTTAACCACTGCACCACCAGGGAAGCCCAGACTGGACTTTTGAGGCCATGTAGAAGGAAAATGTTTTTATCACTATTTTACGACTTGGTAGCAGAAGAGAGGATAAATAGTTTGGTGCTAATAATACCCACAGTGAAGATCAAGTTGGGCAAAGGGAAGTGAGGAGAACTTCCCTTAGTTAGAAAATGACTTTTCCAGTGTTTAGCATTCTCTAATGACTATCTGGTTGTGATACTGTGTGGTTTTAGGGATGGCAATTAATGGTTGACCTACTTTGCCTCAGGAATACAAATACCACATGTTCACTTATATAATGAGTGCTTTGTAGGTAAGAGCCCTGACACACCCCTTGTTGTCAACAGAGTTAATATCTGTACTTTAGTTTCTTGTCCTTACTGTAGAAATAAAGTTTTGTGTGTTTGGGTAGCAGAACAATATTTGAATTGTTTCTTACCAGGAAAAAACAGTATTCAAAATAACATGTAAAACTAGGAGTATAGATTTTGTTTCCATTTTTAAAACCTTCTCCTATATACATATATGTCTACATAATTTATACATGTCTACAAAATAAATGGTATATAACTATATTTATTTTAAAAGTGTGGAAAGGTATGTATCAAAATATTGACTGTGTTAACAGTGATTGTCTCTGGGTGGTGAGCTTATGAATGAGTTAGTGTTTTTCCCTCTTGTTTCTTATTCATGTTTTCTAGTTATTTATTTCAAAGAAAGAAAAGTTTTTCATTATTGTCTTTAATGCAGAAACGTAAGTTTGAACAACAAAATAAGAAGTATAATTGCTAGATCTGCGGTATAGAATCTTATCTACAGAGTGATGGCCTACCTTTAAACCATGTACCCTTCTGTTCCCTTTCAGAGGATTCCACAGATGTGGGTGAGGAGGACAGCTTCCTTGGTCAGACTTCTGCTCACACGTCTACCCCACAGACATTTAGTTACTTCTCTCAGGTATCAAGCAGTAGTGATCCTTTTGGGAATATTGGACAGTCACCGTTAACAACTGCAGCAACATCGGCTGGACAGTCAGCATTCTCCAAGCCCCCAACTGCTCTCCCTTTTACCACCGGATCCCAAGATATGTCGAATGCATTTTCACCATCCATTTCGAAGGCTCACTATGGTGCTCCACCTGCTTCACAAATGGGAATAAATACTTATCTGCCTTCTCAGCCTAGTAGTCTCCCTCCTTCAAATTTTGGGAGCCCACCCCAAGGAACGCCCCAACAAGGATACAATCCATATCGCCACACAGCTGTAAGCAGCAGGGCTAATCCTTATATTGCACCGCCACAGCTGCAGCAGGGCCAAACACCGGCCCATCCTACCCATCCCCCGCCCTCTGGACCCCCTGTTCAGATGTACCAGATGCCTCCAGGATCTCTGCCTTCGGTATGGAAACATGTTTTTTATATCCTAATTATTCACTGTAATTTTTTTTTTTTTTTTTTTTTTTTTGCATGTTTTCCAGGCACATTCATTTTAATCCTCAGGGTGCTGTTGCAAGGCAGAAGTTCA